GTATTATGTTTATCACGTGATTATATAAATTTTTGAAATTTGAAACAACTTGATGGCTTTTTATGGAACACACTATAGTCAAAAAAAATTTTTTTTTGATAATCAAAAAAGTTGTATTTTTAAGGATATGAAAAGTGATAAGAGCAAACAATCTAATGTTAGTTTTTCGGGCAAATTTGTCCCAGCTGAAGCGACCGAAACCTTAATTTCAGAAAAATTAAGCAAAAAAGCTGCAAAACGATCTAGAAAACGTGAAAAAAGGCAAAATGAAAGAATTAATAGCGCTCCGGAACAGAAATGGCGCAAGATATCGTTATCAAATCCACCACCAATAATACCTGCTAATATAGAAGAGGATATCACAGAAGCGACGCGATCAGATAATAAAAAAAAGCGTAAACGAAAAAATGCGGTTCAGGGAAATAACTCTAATAATGATAATGATTTTGTTGATATTCATTCTCTTGAATGGTCTGAAGTAGCTTGTCCGGAATCAATTTTTATGGGAGATGATTTAGGAGGTTTTTTATGTTTAGAGGAAATAGATTATGTTGATGTTGAATATGAAAATAATGAAGAAACCCAAGGAAAGACGATTAAATTTAAGGTTAGTAATTTGATCAATATACTTGGTATTTCAATATTTATGAATTATTGTTGTATTATATGAACATTATCTGAATAATTCAACAGAGAATCAAAAGTGATGAGAAATCATCAAATGCGAAAACTAAAAATTTATGCGCTAAACCAGAAGAACCATTAACAAAAGAAGAGTCATCCAACTATTATGACTTGGATACATTTGATGAAAGTCTTCTATTGGGAGAAGAAATGGATGAATCTTCGCAATCCGAGGAAGATGTAATCTCACATGATAATTCTGATAATAATGAAGGCCAAGATAATGAGAGTGATAAATATGAAAATGATGAATCCATCATTAATAATTCGCAATCAAATAGCGAGGATGAAATGGATATCGATTCGAAAAAAGAGGAAGATAATAATTTGAAAAATCAGAGTGCAAGCACGAATATTAATCATAAACCGATCGCGAAAGGACCGGGTCAGAATGCAATTGAAGGTATGGGTTCTTCAAGTTTAATATTCGAAATATTAATAGTAATTTTTTTTAAATTAAGAATACTCATATTACAATATAGAAGAAATTGATATTTCTGCATGGAATCAGTTCAACCTTTCTCCTACCATCATGAATGGGTTAAAAGCACTTCAATTTGATAAACCTACACCTATTCAAGAAAAGTCTCTCCCTTTTAGTATGTCTGGACGTGACGTTGTAGGTGCAGCTGAAACTGGTTCTGGAAAAACGCTTGCTTTTGGAATTCCTATATTAGAATACATAATTAATCGAAATATTAAAGAATCCAAGAACCAACTTGCAGCGCTTATTTTAACGCCTACAAGAGAATTAGCTATGCAAGTCAGAGACCATCTTCTAACCATTAGCAAAACTTCTTTAATTAAGGTATAAAATTACGGTTATTTTCGCGGATTTAGTTAATAGTTTAATAATAAAGTTTGCCATTTATTTCAAGATAATGGTGATTGTTGGAGGAATGTCTGTTCAGAAACAACAGCGATTGTTGTCAAAGCATCCGAATATTATTGTCGCTACGCCTGGACGTTTGTGGGAGCTATTCTCTGAAGTAAGAGGTTCTTTACAGTATTTAAATATTAATAATGTTGTTATGTATTAAATATATGAAATTTTTCTGTACAGAATGATGCGTATCTTGATAGCTTGCGACGCATAAAATTCTTGGTATTAGATGAGGCAGATAGGATGCTCGAAACCAACCATTTCGAAGAGTTAAATCATATTTTAACTGTTCTATCAAGAACTAGAATGTAAAAGCAAATTGAATTTTCAGTTTTATTAATTATTTTTTAATTCCATAATATTAATGGAATGACTTAATAGTAACACTAATGAGTGGGCCGAAGGCGACATGAAAAAAACTGAGGACTGCATCAATGGTAATCTTCTCTTGCTTTTAAATTCAATTCATATCCTGATACTTATAATAATTTAATTATCTTATATCAGACCTACCTCCTCGTCAAACTTTTGTATTTTCTGCTACGCTTGATAGCAAGTTGAAAGAAGACCTGAAGCGAAAGAAATCATACAAGAGAAAAAAAGATTCTGTGGGGACAATGAGTAAATATTTATTTATAACTATAATTGTTTTGTGATAAACCATTCTAGCTTTATCCTAACTATAAATTAATTTTAATCAAGCTGAATTAATGCATCGGCTCGAATTTAGCGATCCTGATCCAGCTTTTTTGGATATTACACCGGAAGAGGCAGTTGCCGAAAAATTACAAGAATCCAAAATTGATTGTCTGACCAAAGAGAAAGTGCGTAATACCTGTGATATTTAGTTTTTTTTTTATTTAAATATTTAGCCTTTTAAATATTATACAATTTTTAGGATTTACACACGTATTATTTTATTACGCGATATCCTGGACGGACTCTTATTTTTGTTAACAGTATTACTGCCATTCGACGTCTTATACCAATCATGAAATTATTAAATATTGAAGTTTTTGGTCTCCACGCACAAATGCAACAAAGACAGCGGTTAAAGAATTTGGATAGGTAAATATATAATATACGAAGATCACAGATTAGCTTATTCTTTACGTATTGAACTAATTATCAAGGCTGCAATTGTAGATTTAAGCAGAACCCTAAAGCTGTTATGATTGCAAGTGATGTCGCGGCTCGTGGTTTAGATATTCCATTGGTTGAACATGTTATACACTATCAGCTACCGCGTTCTAGTGATGTATGTTTTTTATTTTAACTTCCAGCATTTAAAATATTATAAATATTATTTTGATTTAGTTAATTTATTTATTCATTGTGCAATTGATTTTTTTTTTTAGATATATGTTCATCGAAGTGGCCGTACAGCCCGTGCAAGAAAAGAAGGTATAAGTTTGATGCTGTGTAGCCCCGAAGAACTGAGCTTATATCGGAAGTTATGCTTGAAACTAAATAAAGGTGAGAATTAAGGTGTTCGATTAATGCTTTGTTTAAAATCTTTAGTAATTAATGATTTTTTGATCTTTTTTTTTAGCTGACGGCTTGACAAATTTTCCTGTTGATAGAGGCATATTAAATTCAATGAAAAAGAGAATTGATTTTGCAAGGCAAATAGACCAAGAGGAACATAAAATGCAAAAGGTCGAAATATTTAAATCT